TTTTTTTTTTGAGATGAAGTCTCACTCTGTCACCCAGGCTGGAGTGCAGTGGCCTGATCTCAGTTCACTGCAACCTCCACCTCCCGGGCTCAAACAATTCTCCTCCCTCAGTCCCCTGAGTAGCTGGAATTACAGGCAGGCACCACCATACCCTGCTAACTTTTTGTATTTTTAGTAGAGATGGAGTTTCACTATGTTGGCCAGGCTGGTCTCAAATTCCTGACCTCAGCTGATCCACCTGGCTTGGCCTCCCAAAGTGCTGGGATTACAGGCATAAGCCACTGTGCCCGGCCCTGATATACCTCTTAAGCAGTCACAGGCTGGCATTTGGGTGCTCCAAACCCCAAGATACCACATGCCATGCTCCTTCTTCCTTTAAAAAAAATTGTCACCAGAGGCTACTGATATACACTTTCCTCCTCTCTGAAACCTGAGAGATAAAAATGTTCCCAGCATCTGAAATAACGTCTTTTTTGTGCTGCAGTGGTATTGTCAGACCACCTTCTCCACACCTGAAACTCACAATAACTCCTTCACATTCCCAGTGGCGCCTCAGTTTGACTTTCTCTCATCATTCTCCCAGTCTCTAATCATGGTATCTTTACTGGCTAGCGAATACAATTAGTATCTCTTCTAAAAAATTATTTCTACATTATATTTTGGTAAATTGAATCATGTTTTAAATAAACGAAAGTAGGTCACTTCTTAAAGGAACTTACTAAGAAAACTTGTGATGTTTTCTATCACACAATAGCATCAGCCTGATTTATCTGCTACATTAAACAGTAATGACTACACATCAGGTTTTACAGAAGGCACAGATATATTAAAATTTCTTTATATGCAACATCGAAGAAGAAAAGATTTCTTTTGTAACCTTTTCTTGAAAACTACTTATGTCTATCTATACCAAAACATGCACACATCTATAGATAAATGTGCTCATATTATAGCTAACCTAAGACTAAACCCATAAATGTCCAAAGCCACAAGGAAAAACAAGAAACCTCTCAAATCATAATGATGCAGAGACAAAAGTGTATTAATAACTCTAGAGATTTATTTATTTATTTATTTATTTGAGATGAAGTCTCTGTTTCCCAGGCTGGAGTGCAGTGGCGCAATCTCAACTCACTGCAACCTATGCCTCCCAGGTACAACCGATTCTCCTGCCTCAGCTTCCCGAGTGGCTGAGATTACAGGCGTGCATCACCCACACCTAGCTAATTTTTGTATTTTTAGTAGAGACAGGATTTCACCATGTTGGTCAGGCTGGTCTCAAACTCCTGACCTCATGATCCGCCCATGCCACCCTCCCAAAGTGCTGGTATTACTGGCATGAGCCACTGTGCCTGGCCCCTAGAGATACTTTTTAACATATGTCAGACCGATGGTCACCAGGGATTAGGGATGGGGCAAGAGTTGAGGGAGGCATGTGACTATATAGGGGTAGCCCAAGGAGTATCTCTCTGGTGATGGACCAGTTCTGTATCTTGATTGCAGTTGAAGAATCCATACAAGCAATAAAATTTCATAGGACTATAAATGCACAGAAAAATAGAGTGAGTATGTATAAAAACTGGTGAAATCCCAGCACAGTTTATACTCGGGTTCACTGCACTGTGAAAATGAAAATGTCAATTTCCTGATTTTGATTATGTTCTAATTCACCACTGGAGGAAGCTGGGTTTAGGGACCTCACTATACTGTTGTGTGTGTGTGTGTGTGTGTGTGTGTGTGTGTGTGTGTGTGTGTGTTTTCAACTTGTAGGTCTATGATTAGATTTTAAAATTCAAATTTTCAAAACCTTAAATAAAAATGGTAAAAACATGTCTCATATGAAAAACTGTTCAACATCTTAAGTCACGAAGGCACTGCAAATGAAAATAACAATGAGATTCTACTACATGCCTATTAGAATCTCTACCTAAAAAACACTGACAGCACCAAAGGCTGGTGAGGATGTGTAGCAGCAGAAACTCTCACTCATTGCTGACAGGAAGATAAAATGGCATCAACACTTGGGAAAACAGCTTGGCAGTTTCTGAAACACTAAATACATTCTCACCATGAAATCTAACAATCACATTCCTTGATATTTACCCAAATGAGTTGAAAAAGCTCACGTCTATACAAAAAACTGCACAGGCATGTTTACAGTAGCCTAACTTAAACTTGACAAAACTCAGAAGCAACCAAGACGTCCTTCAATAGGTGAGTGAATAAACAGTTGTACATCCACACAGTGATAGAGTATTGGGAGATAGAAAGAAACGAAATGAACTATCATGCCGTGAAGGAACATGAATGAATCTGTGTGTGTGTGTGTGTGTGTGTGTGTGTGTGTGTGAGAGAGAGTGATGGAGTCTCATTCGCGTCACATAGGTTGGAGTGCAGTGGCGCTATGTCAGCTCTCTGCAACTCCATCTTCCAGGTTCAAGTGATTCTCCTTCCTCAGCCTCCCGAGTAGTTGAGATTACAGGTGTGCACCACCAGGCCTGGCTAATTTTTATTTTTGGTAGAGATGGGCTTTTACCATGTTGGCCAGGCTGGTCTCGAACCCCTGACCTTGTGATCCACCCACCTCAGCCTCCCAAAGTGCTAGGATTATAGGTGTGAGACACCGCATTCAGCCCAGGTAAATCTTAAATGCATATTTCTAAGTGAAGGAAGCCAGTCTGATAGACTGTTTAATTATAATTATGTGTCATTCTGAAAAAGGCAAAACTATAGAGACAGTAAAAAACATTGGTAGTTGCCAGCAATGTGCAGTGAGAGAGGGATGCATTAGTGGACAGCAGGGGATAGTAAAATTCTTCTGTGTGATGGGATAATGGTGGATAATGATATTATGCATTTGATCAATTTCATAGAACTGTAAAAAACAAAAAGTAAACCCTAAGGTAAACGATGAACATCAGTGAATAATAATGTATCAATATTGGCTCATTGCTGGTAAAAAATATTAATAAGAAGGAAACCCTTCTGCAGCCAATTTAGCCGACTGGGTTCCCCTCCTCATGAGGGCCCAGTATGCAATGGCTGCAAACAGCAGCTTCCTTGGTAGCATAATGCAGCCTGTTTCTTGTATGGGTTGCACTAAGGGACCTTGGAGACAAGACTTTCAGATGTTTGTTCATGTCTCTGACCTTGCACTACCCCCATGTAGGCTCCAAACAGGCATGCGAGGTGCCTTTGGAAAGCCCCAGGGCACAGTGGCCGGGGTTCACACTGGCCGAGTGATCATGTCCATCCGCACCAAGCTGCAGAACAAGGAGCATGTGATGGAGGCCCTGCACAGGGCCAAGTTCAAGTTCCTTGGCCACCAGAAGATACACATCTCAAAGAAGTGGGGCTTCACCAAGTTCAATGATGATGAATTTGAAGACATGGCGACTGAGAAGCGGCTCATCCCAGATAGCTGCAGGGTCAAGTACATCCCCAATCATGGCCCTCTGGACAAGTGGCAGGCTCTGCACTCATGAGGGCTTCCACTATGCTGCCCCCTCTTAATACTAACCGATAAATTCTACTTCCTGTCCATCTAAAAAAGAGGGAAGCCCCGCAGGGGAAAGAGGATATGGAAACTCTGTACCTTGTGCAGAATGTTTCTGTAAACCTAAAAGTTCTTTTAGAAAAAACTGATTATATTTATTACTTTTTAAAAATGTGAATTTCAAAAAATTGTGTCGTCTATTTATAATCTCAAATTGTAAAGAACATTGACTATCACAACAAATATATACGGTAGCACTAGAGTTTATATCCACAGCATATTTGTACCCTTGTGTTCCCCATACTAAAGAAATAGCTATTGGGCCAGGCGTGGTATAATCCCAGTGCTTTGGGAGGCCGAGGCGGGTGGATCACTTGAGATCAGGAATTCGAGACCAGCCTGGCCAATATGGTGAAAATCCGTCTATACTAAAAATACAAAAATTACCTGGGCATGGTGGTGGGTGCCTGTAATCCCAGCTACTCAGGAGGCTGAGGCAGGAGATTGCCTGAACCCAGGAGGCAAGGGTTGCAGTGAGCAGAGATCGCGCCACTGCACTCCAGCCTGGGCAGTACAGCCCAAGGGAGACTCAATCTCAAAAA